TGATAGATGTGACATTTTCCCATATATAATGTGGCACTACATATTTTGGTTTGTATAGTTTGTGCTATTTGGCGGTAGAAGCTTCAAAGTGATCATGGCAAGTCAAAGGAGTAGTTATAATTTGCACATTTAGTAATTTAATTTGTTTATATTCTTTTAGTTTATATTATGACTATCATACTACGATATAGTTTGTTATGTTTAAATCTAATTAATATCACGAGATACCACACAACTTCTTAATTTTTTTTAACTGACAATGCAACACAACTTATTATAACCATAACAAATAAAAGTTTAGCAACACAATTTATTAAACTTTTTTATAGAGTTTTTATAGTGGAACATGCTATTTTGCTCTACCTCCTACCGTGTTTTTATTGTTCAATTAATTGTTTAACAAGTTATAACAAAAGCAGTTTTGAGTGCCTCATTGTAAATTTTTAATTTGAATGTGCACAAATTTAATCGTAAAAATTGTATTGTTCTTACCAGTGAACTAAAATAACGTGTTCTGCCATAAAAATACTCAACTTTTGACTGATAATGCAACACAACTTATTATGACCATAACAAAAAAAAAAATTAGCATATATCTTTACTTTGAGATGTAATGTTTAACACTACAACTACTAGTTTTGGTACGTGCCATGCAGGTATTGAGCTGTAATGGTGGCTTTTATAACAAAGAATATGGACAACAATATGCATGAAAAAAAAAGTAAAAGAAAATTTTAATTTAGAGATTTAAGAAGAGTTAGATTACATGGTAGCGAGAGTATCTTAATGGAAACTACACACCTAATTCCATTTGAAGATATAAAGTTTAAATTTCCCACACAAGACAAGAGTATACATTAATGATAATTTAAGTCAAAAGGTTACATTTAAATAAAAAAATACATGAAACATTCTAAATTATAATTTAAATTATAATTTGACAAAGTTAAAAATAAAGTAATTGAAACTTAAAAAGCAAAGAAAAAATTAAGACAAAAACTAAAAATTTAGAATTACATAAATAATAAATATACATAAAACCATAAAAACTATGTACTTTTCTTTATTTTAAATGTTTGAAAAGAAAAGAAAAATAGGAAACAAAATTGAAAAAAAAAGAAAAAAAAGATAAAAGAACTGAAAAAACCAAAATCTAAAAAAAATCAAAACGGTTCGTTTTAAATGACCAATAAGTGAGCTATATGTAGGATAGGATAGAACAAATACGACCACTCTATAAGTGAATTGTTTTAGTTTATTTCTGAAATAGAAGTGAAATTCATAATTTCTTTTTTTTTTTGTTTAGAAATGGACACAAATTTATTCTTTCTGAAAAACAAAAAAAAAAAATCCTCCTTATCAATAAGCATAATAAGCCAGAAACGATAGCTTTATACGAGGGAAGAGTCAAAAATCTGTTGTTTTTATTTTTTCTATTTTGGTGACTGCCCTCATATTATTTATTTAACGTGTTATTTAAAATTAAAAATCTAACTATATAAATACAAAATAATAGATATTTAAATAATTTATGTAATGACATGAGGAATTAAACAAGTTTAATTATATTAATTGTAATTTATTAGTGTGCCTAATTTAATTTTCTTAAATTAATCAAGAAAATTTTAATTATTTTTAATATTTGCAATTTCACCCCGAAAGTATGTGAGAATACATACTTCCATCCCTTTCTTTTTAACTATCTTTTAATATTACCTTTTTCCTTTTCCTTTATATTTTTTCCTTCTTTCTTTCTCTCATTTTTCTCTTTCTCTCTCTCTCTCTCTCTCTCAGAGCTCACTCTCTCTCTCCTTTTCCCTCGTTCCTCTCTCACTCTCTCGTCTCTCCCCTACTCTCTTTCTCTTCTCCTTCTCTCAAGTTTGTCTCTCCCGCTTCTCTAAGCGGATTTGGATTCGGATCTAAACCAAAAAGTAAATTTTTAATAAGTTTTCAACATCAAAGCAAAGATCAAGGTAAATTCTTTAAAAACTCATTCTTGAATCTCTTATTTTTGCTTTGATGAAACTTTATTTTTGTTTAGTTTGTGAGGTTTTGGTTTTAACTTGATTTTGAATGGATTTTAGTTGAAATCATATTAGAATTTGGGGGGTTTTTGATTCTTTGGACCCCATTTGATGATTGGAACCTGGTTTTGTTAATTTTCCTTGAAAATATCTCAAAATCACACTCAAAATTTACAGGGTTTGGCCTTGTTCCTCACGGATCGACTATTGTTCTTGGCTGATCTGCTCCCCACCAGTCGACCGGGGCGGACGACCAGTCACCACTCCACCAGCCGACCGGTGGAGTAACACTTCTCTGTCACCAGTCAATTGGTATACACTAAATCTGACCCAAAACAGTTCAAAACCCCTAGTTTGACCCTGAAATTCAATATAGAACCAACCTAATTTTATTTGGGGACTCAAAGTGAGTGGATTAGCCACATTAATCCTTGCTTCCATTCCATTTCTCTTGATTGAACTCCGATTCTCAAAGAATCATGATTTGAATTAAGAAATTGTTTATGAACTTTGATTTTAAGTCAAGGCACGCTAGTATGATACAATTGTTTAGGATTAAGCTAGATTGTTTAGAGATAAGGATTAAACTCTAAACTGTTATTTTTTATGACGAAGCCAGTGACACGATTGGACTTGGAGCTTCAAAGACAAGTGGAGCTAGGACCACGTGAAGTTATCCGTAGAATTGACATTCGAGAGGTAGGATGTTATTGTCCACATACTTGTTAGCCAGTTTTAAATGTATTTGGCCTATGAAAATGTTTTAAATATAAAAATGTATTTGAAATCCTTAAAAACTAAAGAAAAGTTTTATATGGTATTTTTCTTAAAATGAGATATTTTAAGAAATGGTAACAACGCTGATGGCCTAGTGATCGGGATATGCAGATCGTATCCTTGAGGGTAGGACCCGAAACCTGGATGGGCCACTACGATGGTGATTGGTCTTGCAATGGTTGTAAGTAATTTATCATTAAATTACTTACTGGTGTTTGAAACCGACAATTTAAGTTTATTTCATTTCAGAAAAAGGATGTTTGGCTCCGGATGACATGTTCGAACCCTGAGCATTCCATTTACCTTTCGCTCACTTTTCTCTGTTTCAAATGTAATTTAACCCCTCCCAGGCGACTCTAGAAGTAGTGCAGAATAGGTGGTGTTTACCGGTGAGGAAATTCCATTCAAGAAGAGAGGAAGCTGTGAAGTTTTCCTTCGTTTCCATTCATTACTAAGGCATGTATATAAGCATTATGGATTGTAAACCTTAAATTCTACTAGATTGTGGTTGATGTCAGTTATTTACATTTCTGTATTTGTTTATGTATGCACAATGTGAAAACCCTGTGGATGCCGGAGGCTAACTTTTGAAATTGATTTGAATCTGATTGTAATTTTATAAAGTCCGCTTAACTCTTTCTAAAATCTAATTTCCTTAAATAGTGGGGTTTGTTTAGAAATTCTTATATATATATATATTATTTTTTACTTTCACTTATGCTTAATTATTTTCTTAATCCCTGTTTTATTTCTAAACAAGCCTCCACATCACTAATCCCTGTTTGGGGGCGTGACAATTTATGAGATGCCAAAATACAATTAGAAAAATAACAATTCAAATTGTGGAGATTTGAACCTGTTTAATTAGAGCTGTAAAATCTAAATTGTGGTGATTCGAACTGTAATCTGAACTATTGTTTGGATATACAAATAAATTATAATTTGAATTGGGAATAAAATCCTAAATATGTTTGGATAAAGTATTGAAAACTATCATTAGAGTTTTGTAACAAATCTTATAAAACCTCAATATAAATGACATTAAAAATATGCAATATAGGCGGGGATTTATTTGTCTATTCATTATGAACACATTAAAAAAATAATCTCAATCAGAATTAAAACGAAGATGTTATACCATTTTTAAAATTAAAATCAAAGATAAAAAAATAGAATATGAAATTATTAGTCTTATTGACTGGTTAGAATTTAGAGGGGAGGTGAATTTTAAAATCAATAATTTAAGTTGTCCTTAAATCATTTTTAATAGTTTGAATTGTCTTTAAATTTTTTTCTCCTAAACACCAGTTTGAATCATGAACTAATGTTTAAATCTTAAATAACAGTTTGAGTTTGCTTCATTCATTCGGGCTTCATTCATTTTACCGATTTGAGTTTTTAATTTTAATTTTACTATAGTTAAAAGTTCTCACAAAAACTTACATCTAAATTTTTCTATTATAATAAAAAATTCTCACATAAAATCATATCTTAATTCAAATTAAAAACTCCAATAAAAATGAAGTTAAATAGGGCTACGAGAGAAATAGATAGGGTCGTTTAGTTCGCTGATTTGAGTTTTTAATTGAAGTTGAGATGTGACTTTATGTGAGAGTTTTTTACTATAATAAAAAGTTAATGTGATTATTTTGAAGAGATTTTGACTGTAATAAAATTTAATTTTTAAACTCGAATCGGTGAAATGAACGAGGTCATGTACACCCTCATTATGAAGTGCACCCTTTTCTGCTATGTGTCAATGCCACGTAAGCCTTTTCTATTTTTAACCACACATCGATGTTGACAAAGTGGAGGAGAAAAAGAAGAGGGGAAAAATACAAAAAAAATTGAAACACGTGAGAAGCCAACCACTCAAACCCCTATACGCTTATCTGGCGGATAGTAACGAGAACATCCTAGTCAATTAAACATATTTCTTGTTTGTTTAACAGAAAAAAAAAAATCAAAGATATTACATAAAAAAACTCTTCCATGTCAAAATAATATGTAGTGCAGAAAGAGCCATCGCATCACAATATTTTTTGTGAAGAAGAAAAAAAGCTCAAATTTATTTTTTTCGACGACAAAAGGCTCAATTTTTCCATAAAAATAAGCTCAAATATTTTTGAGGCATTAAAAGAATATGCGTATTTATGAAATATAAATGCTGAAAATAGAACTGAACGCATTTCAAAAAAATATATAACTGAACGACCTCTCTTTCATTGGCGCGCTTGCCATGTCGTTTTGACACCTTCGCGTATTCATCGCGAAATGAAGCCCCACACACGCAGTGGCTTCGACACTGCTAGACCAGTCACCTATATAAACTCTTCTCGCCGCCATTCTCCGCCGGCGTGTCCTATCGCGAGAACATTTGTCGCCGGCGAACCAATTTTCCGCCGATCCTCCGCCGCAAAACAGCAGAAGCCGAAGGCAATTCGTTCCGTCGTAAATGATGAGTTTTCAGCGGGAGATAATGGCCGGATTAAGGGGCATACAAGGAGGCAAGCTCTGCTCGCTTCGTCTCTGGCTCTCGGCGCGTGGTTTCTGCAATCGGCGACGGCGAGTGGAGAGGACGCGCCGCCGCCGCCGCAGCAGCAGAAGGTGACGGAGGCGGTGCCGAGAGATGAGGAGAAGGAGAAGAAGGAGGATGCAATAACTTCGAGGATTTATGATGCGACGGTGATTGGAGAGCCGATGGCGATTGGGAAGGACAAGGGGAAGGTGTGGGAGAAGGTGATGAACGCTCGAATTGTGTATTTAGGGGAAGCGGAGCAGGTTCCGATCGGCGACGACAAGGATTTGGAGCTTGAGATTGTGAAGAATTTGAAGAAAAGGTGTGCGGAGATTGAGCGGCCGATGTCTTTGGCTTTGGAAGCGTTTCCTTCTGATCTTCAGGACCAACTCAATCAGTATATGGACAAAAGGTTTTGATTTCATTTTCGTTTTCTATGCGGTTTTCTCGAATTATTTGAAGTAAGAAATCTGAGCTTGTCATGTTCAAGTAAAATCGGATGAAATTTTGTGAGTTTTATGTGCTAGTGTTATTGGTTATAACTGTTTAAGAAATATCATGAGTATTGTTAATCGCTAACAAACACATGTTTATAAGTTCCAACGGAGTACGAGGTCTTCTATAATAATATCACACGTTGGTTTTCTGTTCATGCCACACGAAATCGAGTATGAAGCATCTCTGGCTCTTATCTTTTAAGTGGAATAGAAATATTTTGTATGTAGATACCTGTCTTTTGTTGTTGATGAACTTGTAGGATTAGTAATAAACTGAAGACCCAGATAAGAAATATATCTTTGTAAACCAATACCTAAATAAATTTGTAAAGTTTATATTCTGATGCTTCTTCCTCTTTACCGTTTGTGTCTGTACGTGATTGCAGCATAGACGGACAAACCTTGAAGGGTTACACATCATACTGGCCACCTCAACGCTGGCAGGAATACGAGCCTCTTCTAAGTTATTGCCGTGATAATGGAGTTCGACTTGTTGCTTGCGGTACTCCGCTCAAGGTCTTTTACATTTTCCACATGAGGAATGTGCACAAAACAAGAATTTCATTTGATTTGTTTGTCTATGAATTGTATAGTTGATGTGTACTTTCGTAAATCATTTTTGATCCATCACAAACTTGTTTGCCTCTCCTCTGATTTGCCTCAGTTTTACACTTTCTATATTCATTTATTACAACTTTTGATGCATGAATATGTATAGTAACCATTAAGAAGATACTGATTATTTCAAAATTAGTAGGTTTTGAGGACCGTGCAAGCAGAAGGCGTTACTGGCCTTTCAAAGGCTGATCGCAAATTGTACACTCCTCCAGCGGGTTCGGGCTTTATATCAGGCTTTAGTGCTATCTCGCGAAGATCATCTGTTGACATGAATTATCCAAATCAATTTGTTCCTTTCAGTCCAAGTTCGTATTTATCTGCACAAGCAAGAGTAATTGAGGAGTATACCATGTCCCAGAACATCTTGCAATCCTTGGATGATGGAGGTGCCATGGGTTTGATGGTCGTAGTGACAGGTGCTAGCCATGTTACATATGGATCCAGAGGGACTGGGGTGCCCGCCAGAATCTCAAGAAAGATACCAAAGAAAAATCAAGTAGTTATTTTACTTGATCCTGAAAGACAACAAATAAGAAGTGAGGGAGAAGTTCCAGTTGCTGATTTTTTGTGGTACTCTGCGGCCAGACCCTGCAATAGAAATTGTTTTGACCGTGCTGAAATTGCTCGAGTCATGAATGCAGCTGGCAGGAAGCGAGATGCCCTTCCTCAGGTTATCTATTTTAGTAGTCTCTGCATATAAATTTTTTTCTCTTACTTGAGCTTTTTAATTTATTTTTGAATTTAAGCCTTGTGCCTTTTAACTTTAACAGACGAATCTATTTCAATTGGGAGTATCTGCTTACCAACTCATCTTTACAAATATATGCTTTTACTAACTCACCTTATCATGACTAGACTCTAGATGCTATTTTCTTTTATTTTCTATATTATTAAATGCACACACCTCATACGTATATAAAAAGTACAATTACATTGCCCCAAGATAATAAAACTACGAAGAATTGGGTTTGTCTTACAATTTTTTTCAACTCTGAACTCAGCTATTTTTATGAGTTGATTTTGGTTACGGGGGATGGGTGTCTATGTAGTAGATAGTTGGGTTTTGAGTCCGGAATATTCTTTTAATTGACATTGCTTAATGATATTTCCTTCTTACTCTCAAGAGACTTTACTCTGACATGTTTTTCAGGACCTTCAAAAAGGACTGGATCTTGGTTTGGTATCACCGGAGGTATTACAGAACTTTTTTGATTTGGAGCAGTATCCTCTTCTTTCAGAACTCACTCATCGTTTCCAGGTAAGCTTGAATCAGAAAATCATAGTTACCTAGATTTCACATTTGTTCTATGACTAAAACACGTTAGCATGTTTCAAACCTTTGTCCATATTGCTATGCTATAGGAATGATGAAGGTAATGCTTCATAGAAACGTAAGTTGACTGTATCTCACATTCATGCAGGGTTTCAGGGAAAGATTGCTGGCTGATCCTAAATTCTTGAATAGATTAGCTATAGAAGAGGCTATTTCAATAACTACTACTCTCTTGGCACAGTATGAGAGGCGAAAAGAAAATTTCTTTCAAGAGCTTGATTATGTTATTACAGATACTGTAAGGGGAGTAGTTGTCGATTTCTTTACAGTATGGCTTCCTGCACCCACTCTATCATTCCTTTCATCCACCAATGAGATAAATGGCTCTGATAGCGTGGATGTCATATCAGGTCTCCTTGGATCCATTCCAGATAATGCGTTTCAAAAGAATCCTGTGGGGAAGAACTGGAACTTCAATCATAGAATTGCATCAGTTCTTTTTGGTGGTGTGAAACTTGCTAGCGTTGGATTTGTTTCCAGTATTGGGGCTGTTGCTTCATCAAATGTTCTCTATGCAGTTCGTAGATTCCTTAATCCAGCAGTTGTTAGTGATCAAAATATTAGGAGATCTCCGATACTTAAGACAGCGCTGGTCTATAGTTGCTTTCTTGGAATATCGGCAAATCTTCGGTATCAGGTACAGAAAGTAGTTTTCTCGTATGCAAGCTTATTTGGTTTCCTGTTTCCATAGACATTCATGGGCACGGATGCTATATCTGACGGTTCTGTCATATTACAAATCAACATTTTTTATGTCTCTGTCATGTTATTACACAAGTATGCAATGACATCGGTGTGTTTGGATAAATATAGGTCATAGCTTTTACGTTCTGTTTATTCGTGCAATATCCAAGAATTTTTTTGACGTTGATGTCAGTTAATTGTAATGCAGTTTATTGCTGGAATTGTGGAGCATCGCATTTCTGAAGAATTTGCATCTCAGACATTTTTTGTAAATATGCTTTCGTTTATTGCTCGGACAATCAACTCTTATTGGGGAACTCAGGTCACAGTCATCTCTTTCTTTCTCTCTCCCCTTTATTTTTTGGTGTTTTTACGCCTAAATTTAGCTTTTCTTCTCTTTTTTTCCTCGGATCTTTTGAGAAATTAGTTGTGTTATGACAACCATGTGTCTGATTTTTTCTAAGGGAAGAAAGAAACAAGATTATATTTTTTAGGAGCTATGTACTTATATTTCACTAGGGAGTACTACTACAAAGAAATCTGGCCTTGTTTATGTAAATCCGTGTTAAAATGTACCCTTCCTCCTTCCATATGTCAGTTTGTTTCTTGGTCATGCCTCGTGAACTTGGACTTATGCATTCTATCAACACAAAATATTGATCCGTCTCTTACTTGAATTTCCCCCTCGTTACAGTAGCTGCATTGTTCTTTCTCCATCTTGGTTTAATATTTGCCGTTGAATGATGCAGCAATGGATTGATCTTGCACGCTACACGGGACTGCAAACACGCAAGAGTGAATCTCCCTCTTACCAAAGATCAGATTCTCCAAGTCATGCTGCACTGGAGTGCAACAACAGTGAAGAAGCCAACATAGATGAAATCAAAAACCAATGAGGTGCTAACTCGGTTTTATACTCATACCCGATTGTATTTTTCTTCTTCAAATCTTCCAGAAGAGATATGGAGAAAAAGATAAAGAAGAAAAGAAATTTTTTATACATTCTGTTCAAACTCGATTTGTATAACATTCAATGTCATCCTTCCAATTTTGATTAAAAGAAAAGGGCAGGTTTTAAGAATCAGCTGCCTAATTTTTATGGTGTTACTTAGCCGTTCCGTGTCATATTTAGGTTGAGGTACTTGGGAGAATATAGCTCAAGCAAGTTTTGGTAGAAATGCATATTCTACGTTTCTACTTCGGAGCTCTTGTTCTCTTCTGCAAACTTATTCTTGCTTTACTAGAATGGTTGTTGCCTTCAGCGTTCTTTAAAGATTGTATTTCAAGTAGTAACCTTAGAAATTAAAGGATTTAAAGTAACGAAAGATATGAGATTCCAGCCAAAAATAGAAAATAAAAATAAAAATAAAGGAAAGATGCGACTTCCTAGCAACACATTAACCTCTTCAGAGGCATAGGATAGGGATTTATCGCAACTGAAGCATTAGTGGAAACAAATTTGTGTGACTGTAACTTTGATTTGATTTCGTTTCATTTCTGTAATGCTCAGAAGTTGATTTGCAGAGATAGTATTCCACTGTTCCCTAATATTATTCATGTAGCATTTGTATGCCTCCAAATTACAGTGAGTTGATCATGGTAGGAAAAAACAAGGAAGTAAAACAAGCTGACAGAAATTGATACGATTCTTTTACATTTTTGTAAACTTCATCAGTTTCTCTCTCTCTCTTTATTATTCATAGAATCATCTATATCTTGATCGTAAATCATCTTATCTAGCAGCTTCTGCTTGACCTTGTTGAAAGCAAGTTCAAGGTTTTCCAGCTGCATGAGGAGTCAAGTGTCAACCTTTAGATTCTCTCTCTCTCTCTCTCTCTCTCTCTCTCTCTCTCTCTCTCTCTCTCTCTCTCTCTCTCTCTCTCTCTCAATCTAAAATATTATGTCAAGAACATTGGCAGTGATTCATACTCTCTCTCTCTCTCTCTCTCTCTCTCTCAATCTAAAATATTATGTCAAGAACATTGGCAGTGATTCATACCTCTTGTTTTGCATATCTATTTCGTAGAAATAACCCACTGTACAGATCAAAGCTATCTTTCACGGTGTTCTCTTTCTGCAAACAACTTGATGTTAGCTTCTTTTCTTTCTTACATGCATTATTTGGCGTTCAAACATGTATAGAGAAAACTTTTGCACAACTGATTGAATGTTATACCAATAGTAGTAGTGACTCGAACCCTTTGGTGTTCATGGGTGTGGAATTGATCTCCATTTCGTACAATATCCTGTAAAAAAGAAGCTTGAGCCTTGTCAGTGTCATCATTGGCTTTTTCCACTAGTTTTTTCCCATAGGATGATGAGAGATTAGTGTCTGAAAATCAGATGTACCTTCCAATGGTGTGAGTGAGAAATTGGCTCCTGGCAGCCATTTTATCGTGTTCTCCACACGGCATTTGTAACATTCTGCAACCCTGTTACCCATTTTTAAAATTAGTACCCTTTGTTAATATAGTTATTGACTAAGAAGGGTATTAATCAAGAGTAAAGAGTAAAAATCAAGACCCCCACTTGTAAAGGGTATTTGTCAAGATTTCTCTTTTATTATTTTGATTGATGCGAGGTGTGAGGGGGGAAAAAATTTATGAGCTTGCAACTGGAGAAGGGATAGACAAATATAATATCATCTGGGTATCGAAAAGCTTAACCTGTCTTTTTCAATTATCTTATTCATGCCTTTTTCCTGTAGAAGCTAATATTAGTAATATATTCCCCGACAAAGATTTGGAACAAAAGATTGAAATGAAGAAGTTTGCTTGCCTCTCTTTCAAAGATTTGGAGAAAGTTCGAACACAAAGCCTCATTCCTTATTCGAACTCTCTCATACATGCATGCCAGATCTTTCCACCCATTCTTCCCACTTTCCGGCCCAAACATGGGGTGAGCACAAAGCAGATCTGACTCCTCTGGCAACACCTAAGCAACACAACAAACACAATATTCTCCTTTTCATGCACACAAAAAATCTCTAAATCCAATTTTTCATGTTAGATTTCTAAACACAACATAATATATATATGGGTACCATACTTGCAATAGAAAATTTTTGGGGAACTCTTTAACTGAGAGTACATCCACAAAGAGTGTCGGTCGTTTCAGACAATGCAGTGGCATTGGCTTGACAACCTCAGTTAACGACATAATTGAAGTGCATATCATTATGACATCATTGTCAGCTCCAAGAAATGCTTCTACATCCCTGAAAGCACTGAAAATATTGTAAGAATATGAATGAAGCTAAGATTAATATCAGTTTTCTGAATGTATTTTTAGGGAATTTCTGCTGATTGTCCTTTTCACTACCTGTAAATACTGTTGTTATAACTGTTTGATTAATTTTTTAACGGTCTCATTTACGAAAGTCTAGGTTAAAATTTTATAACTCTTAACTATTAAAACAACAATACAAAAAACGGCAGTTCTTACATTCACCTGAAGAATGAGACACCCAAATTGAGGCAAAGCTCTGAATGATCTGAGCGAGAAGTTGCCCTTAGAAAATGACCCTGTTTGAGCATGGTTTTCGCCAGAAACTGGGCGAAACTGCCGAAGCCCACAATGCCTATTTTCAGATTTGTTGAAGACGAGGAAGATGAAGCCATGGTTGCGGCGAGAAGAAGATAATAATGGCGGTTGAGAACGGCTAATATATATCGTTTGACTAGGGCTAATAACCCAGCAAAAACTGGCCAATAAATTCTTGGCTCAGAATATGAAGAACGTGACATAAATTTCAAATGGGTGAGTTGTGGACAGCAAAGTTGACACAGACTTTCGCAGTCTAGAAGCACATTTCTTCCAAGTAATCGCTTAGAACATAAGACAAACAATATCAAATGGGTGACGATAACTGATGCCTAGAAGGGGATTGCGTCCACTTTCTTCCTTTTCCTGGTTTCACCATTTCAGCCCTGATTTTGGCATAAATTCTCCTCTCTTTTGTTTTGTTATAATTGACTGAAAAATGATCTTTCCTCCGGATTCTGTCATAATTGTTTTCTACATTGGTGTCGTTCATTAAGGTATTGATGATACTCACTTTGTGGTCGTTTCGTTTTTCTTCTTGTTGTCCTTTTTATCTCTCATCTTCTTCAGTTTCTTGTTGTTCTACAAATTGTTGTCGTTTTGTTTATTTTGGTGTCTTACAACCGTTGCCGTTTTTACTATGCTCCTGCGTTTTCGTCGTTTTGCACCTGTCGACTATTTATTTTAGGGTGTGTTTGGCTGAAAGGATGGATTGGTGGAGGGATAAGGTTGGAGGAATTCAGGGGTGGAAAGTGAAATTTAACCTTGTTTGGTAGGGTGGAAAGTGAAATTTAACATTGTCTGGTAGGATGGAAAGAATGGAGGAGAGAAAAAAGGGTAATCTTGATAAATACTTCTTAAAAGTGCACAAGTCGAAATTTTTATCTTATTTTTTATTCATAACATTTTTAGTTAAATAATTACAATAACAAAATGGTATTTATCAAGAGTAAATAATGAAGGTCCAGACTCTTACACTCTTAACAGTAAAATCTCCATTTTTTTGAGGAAAAATGAAGGGGTTGTAAATTCCTTGGCCCACAAATTTTTATTCTCCCAAATATCGACGGATTAGGAATGGCTGAAGACAAAAATGAATGTTATTCCCAAATTGACCTTTTTCAATCTTAAAATTCTTAAAAACTCCTAAGAATTACAAGGGCATTTTTTTTGGGTTAAAAATCAATGTTTCCTCCTAGTTTAGCTGCTAATGTTTTCATGTCAAGTTGATTTTGCTTGAACAAGTTTTTGTTGTAATTTTTAGCTCTTTGGTTTTGCTATTGCACTAAGGAACTATTGTATTAATTTTTTTTCTTTGATGGATCTTTTTTTTTTTTAACTATACAACAACAATGTTGCTAAAAATAAAAAAAAGAACAACAATAGTATGCGAAAAAAGGAAATTAAAACTTCCTTTTAAGCTTGATTTCTATCATTGATTTTTTTTTTTTGTTTATATTATGGGTTTCTCTTTGTGTATTATAAAGCAAATCACTCTTAAATAATAAAAAAAGATTTCAAGTAAATATAATTAATTTTAATAGAAGGGTAAATATGTAACTTTATCATAAAATTAAATCCTTCCCTCTGTGTTTTCTTCTAATACCAAACAATAGAATGAAAAGTCACTTTCTTTTCTTCTAATGATACCAAACAATTTTGAGAAAATTCTCAATTCTTCCCTCACTTCCCACTCCCTCTCTCTTCCACCCTTCCATCAATCCATCCCTCCTACCAAACAAACCCTTAGCGTCCTTACACAACTATCATTCTTACTTTGCGTCACACTTTCTTATTGTTTAACTTTATTCTCATTTACTCAATTTGGTGTCCTTTTTTTTTCTTATTGTTCCTCTTTCCAAAACCTTATCGCCGCTCTTCATGTTCTTGTCGTTATTCTATAACGACCCAGCCTTCCAAAGCCATTACTATTCATCACTTATAACAATAATATTTTATCTTTTAAAACACACATATACTTAGTTACCATAATTTTTTAGGCATTTTTTAAAAAACTTTTTTAAAACAACCTTTCTTCATTAATAAAAGTTTTAAAATTACTTATGTGATTTATAAACATAAGCTCAAACTTAATAACAATACAACATAATATCATATTTACAAACCGATTTGAATACCTATTAAACACAACTTAATAAGCACGTTCTAATAAAATTTTCATACAAATACTACAAATACATAATTACTTAAATTGTATCTCTGAAGCCATATTTATTATTTACAGAATTTATAGCATGGTGGTATCCAAGCCCAACCCTCCACCATACACATACTCCCTTGTGAAGTCCATCAATGAGTAGTAGGCTTTTTACCTACAGCGTGAACAAACTTATGAGCCAAAGCTCAGCGAGTACAAATATTCCTCACAAAACATTTGTCATATAATAATATCATAATAGAAAATGCATGACCTTTTATGCTATGTACTCGTACCGGGTGCACATGACCAAGGGAAGTCAGGGGAGCTACCCACACATTTAGTTTGACAGCACATGGACCTGATTAATTTCTGTTTGGCACGGCACCTATCTTATCTCTTGTTAGTTTAGCCTCTTATTAAGTAAACATGCGATTATGATCATGCCACATAAGTATCAATATCATTTAAACTGAAGAGGCAACATTTGGAATAATATCCTTATCACTCATTTCGATAACAGAGAATCAATGCATTACAAGCAAACAATATCTCAAGCATATCTTTGTACTCACCTGGGTGCTAGTGCTCAACGTTTGTTCATAGCAAAACACTCTTGTAGAGCTGTTCGTTATGAGTTCAAACGATACCGATAATTGACTGTCAGTTTGATATTGAAGCTTCTACTTAACTTACTTAGATCTTCAACATTCATTCGAATTAGTTGATTAAATTAATTATTCCTTTCTTAACTAAATTCACACTTTTGGATTAAACAACAAGTATTAAATCTCCCTTTAAATTTTATTAACCACTTTAGGTTAATTATTCTTTGCTAACTGTTAATTTATTTCTTAACTTAGTTTATTAATTAAATTAATTAATTAACTAATGAGTTATCCGAAAAGTCCTACTAATTTATTTAAGGACCTAGAAAATTAATTAAGTTAATGTCTCATAAGTACACTCCTAAATTACAAGTAGGTTACCCCTTTAAATCCAGTTGGGTTTTAAATTTAAACATTTCTAAGTATGGGATTTGGGCCTTAAATATTGAGTTTTAATTAGTAATCTGGTTGGTTTTATTTACGATCAACTTATGGGTTACTTGTTCATTATCTGGGACCTTAAGTCTACTTATATTTCTTAACTTAATTTAATTCTTTAAATGGTGATCTCTGGTCTTATAAATGTTTTTAGACTAGTCAGGGTTTTCCAACTTCGATTGACGATTTTATCCTCAGGAAAAATTATCGTTTTAGCCCTATCAGGTTTTGACGATTCTAAGGTCATAAACCTGGGACATTTATCGCCTTTGATATTATGTTTTTAAGGACCTTGACTTAAATCTCAAAGCTTGGTATCCGTTTGACCATTTTACTATTTGTGGTCAAAATGACAATTTTTGCCCCTAACGTCTTTTTAAGTGACCTAAGGGCTCTAAGTTTGACTTTTTAAGTCCCTTACTGCCTTACTAAGCCTCTGGACTTTTCTAAACATATTGACTCCAAATTTTCCGAAAATTACGATTTTGACCCTATAGACGGCAATTTTGACGTTTTTACCCCTCGAGGTCTATCTAAACTTTTCTCCGCTAATAGGCTCATCTCAGTAAGAAGAACAAAACTCTTCACTGGACCTAAAGTTAATTTTAATCATATGAACCATTATATATATATATATATATAACTACGCCTTCAAACAGAGTCTAAAGTGTCACACCCACTCGAAATAATCATTGGCTATCATATAAAATTCTAAGTTCACATTTCCTCAATTTACTTACCGGTTCGATCATCAAATATAAAACTAGTGTTCCTAATTCATATGACGTCTAAATGATCTCAAATTTTGATATTAAGTTCCTAACGTATCATATTTCATCCCATTAAAACAGTTTTATAAACTAAGTTCTCTAACTCTTAAAGTTTGGGCTTTTATTCTCAGATGGTTTTGTGAAACTAGTGATTCAGAATACTTATTTTAAATTTTCATAACTAATTATACAAATATCATTTTCAGACACATGTTATCTTGTTGGAAAGCTCAAGATGTCAAGTTTATATCCTCAAAATTTCATATTCATATTCCAAATTTAGCTTAACCAAAAATGGATGTACTTCTTGCTGGTCACATTAAATGTACTGATTGTGGTAAAAATTTAAACCTAGCATATCTTAACCTTAACAACACCAAATTAAGTGATTCCAAAAATTATTTTATAGTTCATTTCCTATTTTATCATTCTATCCCTAAGATTTACTATTTTAATGTCTCATTCTCACACCATATCCATGTTTTCTCTTAGGTATCCATAACTAACATAACTGAAATCGTAACATGCATGGCTGGGTTACAAAGTTCTTGAAAAAAACTTTTACCTTAATGCTAGCCTTCCATAGCTTCAAACCACGTCCTTAAGCTTCTATAAGTGGTCTAAAACTTAAGCTCATAAAATAAAACTTATCTTAGAATCATTCAAAATTAGTACACAACATAAGCTACACTAGAGTGGGAAAATGGTTTCTCCTTACCTATCTCTGGCCAACTTGTCCCCTCTTGGTCTTGCTCTTGAAGTAAAGTTATTAGACTTTAAGGAGGGTGCAACTCGGTAGAAATGGGAGAAAAGAAAAGATCTTACTTCTTGAAACTTTAGAGAGGCTAATGTTAGGTGTACAATTTGTTATATCACTACCTATTAGTATGAAATCCTCCGTGGTACAATAATTTAAATAAAAGTTTTGTTGTTTACCCACTAGAGAATCCAGTCAAAAGAGAGGAGACATAGAAGGCACTCATCCAAAAAAAAAAAAATCTTAATTTTTCAAGAAATCTTTTTCACTCCGTGAATAATGCATAGTTTGTTCTATTCTAATGTAGACTTTTTGACTAATCATTCACCTTTCTTCCAACATGCACTTAATCACCTCTATCATTATTGTCCCCCTTCTTATTATCTTTTTGATTGTCGACAATCTTATCGTCTCGTTTATATATTATACACATTATATATATATATATAACTTCTTTTTTTTAAGTAATCCCACTAGATTCTTCTTATTAATACATTATGTGCTATATACTATGAAAAGTTTTGAAACCAAAATCAATGGGAAAATCATGGGATAATGGGGAGTGGTGGGGTTGCACTAGTTAATTAATTTATTTATTTTGGTGCATGCTTTTGTCCACACTAGTTGATTTCTCTAACACTTATGGGGTAACTTTGGTGATTTGATATTTGCCTAGTGCCCTTTTGTAAAGTATTGGACTTTAGATTCACATAGTTTCTCTTCTTGTGGTTACAGCTAAAATGATGAAAGTGGAGATTGTTCATGAATTCTTTTGTCTTTATATAATTCCCCACTCTTTGATTTATGCATGGTTTACTCTTTATCATGAAAAACCTTTTTGATTTCATGGTGATCATACTATACTTAAACTACTAAATTTCTTCATCCTTTTCCTATCCTTCAAATCTGTACATCCTTCAATCTTAGCCTTAAGATCAATACTTATTTTAAAACTTAGCCATTGGATTTATCTTATCCTAATCCTATCTAAATCCTCTTTTGATTAAATCATCTATTATTCTAGCAACCCAAAAGTAACTGCAGTGTAGTTTTTACACTAATGGTAGATCTTTAATTTTATTGACTGTATGCCATGTGCTTGGGGTTGGTTTTCGAAACGTTTTCGTGTGCAGAAGTGTGGTAGTACGGATCATGTATAAAAAAAAATTTCACAAAACTTTTTGAATACGCTATAGATTATATTAATTTATGCAATAATAAATTAATCTTGTTAATTTATAACGATATACCTTGTCGATGATTAAGATGATAACTTGAGGTCTTTAGCCAACAAACGATCCTTCCAAAGCTATCTTAGAAAACTCAGGTCTTCCTCGTCTACTCCTTGAAACTTACAAGACTTAGAGTGTGCGCTCAAGGTATAATTATCGATTCACTCACTAATTTAGTATTTTTTCACATTAACGCATGTATGTGAAAGAATTAGAAAAATTAGAAGAACTTTTCTTCTCTTTTTCTCTCTATAAATTTTCGGCCACCTTAGGTAAATTGGAAAGCAAAAATCTTTTTCTCCAATTCCTATTGTCTCCTATTTAATAAGAAATTAGTTGTTACTATATTTTTAATCTCATTAAAAATACAGTTTCTCTTTTAATTTTGGAAACAGACTTTGCTTCTTATTAGCTATAGGGGGCTGGCTAACACATGTAGGATGAGAGAGAAAATTCCTCCTTAATCAAATTTTTAATTTTAGCTCAAATTTAATTCCAAATAAAGTCACACTTTACTTTCCCTTCTGAATTTAATTGGAAAACTTGTCAAACAAGTAAACCGAATTACTTAGAGAGCAAGCAACTAAAAACCAAGTGGGATTTTTCCAGTGACACGCGCTCCCTGTGGTCCCACCACAATGTGTGACAAAATAAGTAAATAATCACATTATTTAATACATAATTAATTCTTATTTAATTATTCGTGAGTGAAATAAAATGCCGATAATTCATCTTGTCTTGTAAATAATACAAGGATGACGTGAAAACTCATGGACTTATAATTCAGAGCTCTAATAAAATTAATAATTAATTAAACTCTTTAATTAATTAATTAATTCGATTAATTCTAAAAATTACTCCACTAAAAACTTGGACTTGCACTCTCAAAATTATAGGCACAATTTATTTCTAAGAACTTGAAGTGTCCATTTGATATAGTCACTACATATAGTTCGATCTTCCATAATAATTCATAATTAGAGCTAAGTAAAATTCGCTAACCTCTCTAATTACATCTTTATCATTGAATATAATTGATTCTCTAATTAATAGTATATTCATAAAACACATTCATGAATACGAGCTCGTTACTTATTCAAGTACCGAATCAACGATCAAGGAAATTATTTATCTGCTTCTTCAAAGAAGAATGAATGGATTCCATCTTCTATATTAGCATTCCTAGCTATCCATTTCATCATGTTTCCAAGATACAAGGAATAGGATTTAATATCTCAAAATCCATACCGTGTAAGTAAAAAAATACGAATTCACAAATAGGAGTCTACTAACAACTCATGATTAAGATAGTTCTATATATGACCATCCGTAGACTCAAATTTGATTTTCTATATTTAACAGAAATTATCAGAAAATCAAATTGTGTCAGTGTCCTAGTTCTACGTAATCTCATTATGCATAATACACTCATTCAATATCCCTATATATTAATGATGCAGACAACACCATTCCATTCTTAATGGGAATGACATATATTAGTAATATTTTAATTAAAAATTTCAAAACTTTAATTAAATTCGTTACAAACATCGTTTTGATTATTATCCTTAAATATTATCTTTTCGTATATAATAATTATATACAATACTTAAGGTTACATAAATAATCACATAATTTTTAATGATATTCATAAAGTATTGAATAATACATGCACATAAATAATGAATAAACTATTTTATTAATCAAATAACAAAATATCCTTATTACATCTCCTGCTTTAAGGACACCACTCCTAACACTTGGCAAGATCAAATGTACTATTTCTAACAGTAATGCTATAGAGAATTATCTGTTATTTTTGCTCTTGAATTTCTTTTGAAATTTAATTACGTAAATTTGTTAAAATCTCGTATTAAAATACGTCTTAACAGAAATTGTAATTTTCTTTATTAATCTTGTAACTTTACTTCCGTACTGAAATTCACAAAATATTTTATTTTTATAATTTCATCCCATAAGATTATAATTTATGAATATTAAACTTTACACATGACAATTTAATTTAATTGATACAAAATAAAGTGCCATAATTATCATTTCAAAGATTTCAATTTCATGATTAACTAAGTTACTGAAAAAATTCATTGTCCAAATCCGAATAATTTTCAAGATTCCTACTGATAAATTTTCCGTATATTAAGGTTGCAAAATTTTCATGACTTACAGAAATTGTGATTACAAAATATTCACCTTCTAAGTCTTGATAAATTTTAAAATGGACCTTTGAATTTTAAAATGGACCTTGGAATTTTCCGTGTCATTACATATTCGGCTTGGAGTCTTTTGTAAGTCCAGCTCATTTATTAGTTTGGTGTCGTTTTTCGTTTATTCATAATTAATTTATCCTTGTTTCGTGTCTTTTCCCTTTTGTTTTCATCTTATAGTCGTTTATTCTATTTGGAGTCATGTCAGCTTCAACTTATTTTTATAGTTTGTTGTCGTCTTGATTTTGTATCGTTTATATATGTATTGTCGATTACTTAGTATAGAAAATAGGCTTACATTTAAAACTTATGTTAGTAAATTTGCCAATATATAAAAATTAATAGGCCTTTTTATGTTTTCAATTATACCCTTTTTTTCTTTTTCCTCTACATATTCTTTCTGTTCTCTCTTAATCTGTCGTTCGTGGGTCTGCACTTCAAATTCTCTCTCACAGTCAATTGTAAATCTAAGATTTACAGTGTAAATTTAAGATTTACTCACAGAATATAGATTGCATTTTTTTCAAAAATCTTGGATTTATAATGTAAATCTCGAATTTAACATCAAAACACAATTTTTGTTCTTTCGTAAATCTTGAATTTATACGGTAAATTCAGAACTTTACTAATATAATATTAACATTTTTTAGTTATGCTAATAAATCTAGGATTTACCGTACGATAAATTCAAGATTAATATCAGAATATAGATTGTGTTACTCGCGAATCCTAGATTTAAAGTGTACATATAAGATTTACCATCAGAACACAATTTATGTTCTTTCTTAAATCTTGAATTTACACAGTAAATCTGACCATCAGAACATATACTGTGTGTATTTGTAAATCCAGGATCTACACAGTAATCTGTCGTTCGTGGGTCTGCTCTTCTCATTCTCTCTCACTGTTAATTGTAAATTTAAGATTTACAGTGTAAATTTAAGATTTACTCTCAGAACATATATTGCATTTTTTTTTTCACAAATCTTGGATTTATAATGTAAATCTAAGATTTAACATCAAAACACAATTTTTCTTCTTTTGTAAATCTTGGATTTACAAGATAAATTCAGAACTTTACTAATATAATATTAATATTTTTTAGTTCTACTAGTAAATCTAGGATTTACCGCACGGTAAATTCAAGATTTAGTATCAAAATATAGATTGTGTTACTCGTAAATCCTGAATTTACAGTGTACATATAAGATTTATCATCAGAACACAATTTATATTTTTTCTTAAATCTTGGATTTACACAATAAATCTATGACTGACCATCAAAACACATACTGTGTGTATTCGTAAATCCATGATCTACACAAAATTTATTGTTACTGGATTATATTAACTTTAATACTATAATATAAATATTTTGTTAGTTATGTTTGTAACTTTCATATTTACTGTATAGTTGATTCCTGATTTCCTATTAGAATATAATTTATGTTTTTTCATAAATTTTGGATTTGCTTCGGAAATCTAAGATTTACCATAAGAAAATATATTGTGTTTATTCGTAAATCCTAAATTTACAATGCAGAGAGCGATGAGAGAGTCAACGTGGAGAGAGTTAGAGTAAATTTTAAGATTTCATTTAAAAAGGAAATTAGGAGTATTTTTGATATATTAATTTTGTGTAAATTTGAATTTACACTTTGTAATCCTATTTGCTAACTAATTATAAATCTTGACCTATTTACTTAAGTAGTCATATTTTCCTCAATGTCCTATTTCTTATTAACTTCTTTTTATTTTTGTGTCTTCATACGTTTTATCTTCGTTTTCCCCCTTAAGCTCAAAATGCTAAAAGGAAAATTAGACAACCTGAAAAAAGTTATAAAACTATTTTCTTCCATGCGATTTTATTAAAGGCTCGTTTGGTAAGAAATTCTACGAGTTTGAATCCATGAATTTAATAAAACCTTCGTTTAGACTCTTATATACATATTTGGATTGAAATTTTATGGAACATTTGAACTCTTCTCAACCCTAAAAATGAGAACCCACCTTCCTCTTGAGTTTTGTCTAATTCAACTCATATTGTTTCAACCGTTCTTTTTACACACGTCCAAACAATGGTTCAAATTAAGGGGTTGTTTGGTTGGGGGATTCGTACCCCGATTTGAATCATGGTTCATGGTTCGCTACAGTATTTTCACTCATAAAAAATACACGTAAATAAAAAATGGTTCTAATTTTATGATTCTAATCTATGAACCAAACGTCTCCTAAAGGTTCTAAACCCAAAGAATCTCATACATAGTTCAAATTTACACCACTCAAATTTAAACCTCTTATTAAACAAGCCCTAAATTTAAAATTATTTTATTCCATGCGAGTTTATATTCTTTCACAAAATACAGTCTTTGCAACTAGCAAATAAGGAAAAAAAAATTACAGTCTTTGCATTAATTACTGATCTAAAAAAAACGTGATTAGTATTTACTTAGTGTGCGTTTGATTGGTGTCATAGTTCAGATCATAGTTCGTGACTCATCATAATATTTTCTTTCATAAAAAACACACATAAATCAAGAATAATTCTAAATCATAATTTTAAATCTAGAAACTAAACGTTCACTTAATCGTTTCTTATTATTTTTAGAATTGAACTACCTCCCAGTAGTCCATGCATGTTCTTGAATTAATTTTTGCAATATAGAGGTCAATTCATAAAGCAAAATAACCAAAATTTGAAGAATTAATAGAGGGTAGGTAGAATCGTTCTCAAAGACCATCTGAAATTCCACACGAATTTGGACCCCTTTTTTTTTTTTAAGGTTACCCAAATTTAGTGTTGTCAAACGTGTCGTGTCGGGCCGGCATGGCACGCTTGACCCCAGGCCCATCATGGGCCTGGGCCGTGCCAGGCACGGCCCTGCACAATGCAGGGTCGTGCCTGGGCCGGGCCTGAGAAAAAAAACTCAGGCCCGGTCCAGGCCCTTGGCCTTAGTCCATAAGGGCCTGGGCCCATGCCCTTCACGGGCCGGCCCCGGCCCTTGTATTTATTTTTTAAATTTTAATTAAAAAAAATATCAAATGCCCCAAAAGATGTGATTTTATTGAATTGACGTAATAGGAGTACACATAAATAACTGTCTCGTTAAAAACCTTGCTAAGTAAAACCCCTGGGGAGATCGGGACAAAACCTTAGCGAAGGAAAAAAGAGTGCAGTAGCTAGGAATAGTAAATTACAAACCTAAGTGCTTCTAGAAGATTCTGTTATTTCTAAGTTAGAAAAATATTCTTGCATCGAATCATCTGTGTATTGTTGTTTTCGTCTTCTGGCATCTTCCCAGTCTTTAACGCACATTAGTCCCTCCAAGATATCTGGATGCATTCTGCTTCTCTTCTCGTCAAGAATTCGGTTGCTTACGCTAAAAGCTTGCTTCGATGCTACCGTTGACACTGGAGTTGTCAGAATGTCACGAGCTATTATGGACAGTGTTGGAAAACGATTTGTCTTGCTCTTCCACCACTGTAAGATGTCTAGTTTGTCTACAAACTAAAAACTTTTTCTAACATTTTCTTAGCGTCAGTAATACTTAGTTGCATATCTATTTCTAAATTCTCTACGATAGCAGTCATCAATTATTTAGTTCCATCTACTCCGCACCTAGGATCTAAAATAGTTGCCAATGCATATAACATAGGACAACCTGACCAATAACTTTTAAATTTATTTTCCATTAAGTTAACTATATTTCCAAAAAGTTGTGTAGCCCTATAATAAGAAAATGTTTTTGAATATTAAATAGTTGATGTAAAGCTAAATGTGCAGTAGGATAATAAACTCCAGAAAGTAATTCAGTAGCATTGTAAAAAACTTCTAGAAATTTAAAAAAATACTCAGCAATCTGTCAATCAGGATCGAGAATTAAAATTTGATCGTTCTTACTGTTTACGTATGTCGTGATAAGCTGTGAATATGGGAGTGCTGCCTTCAACATTAAATATGTTGAATTCCATCTATGTCTCACGTCAGTTGGAAACTTTCTTGGGCGCATCAGGCTGTTCCTGCAATATTGTTTGAATTCTTGGAGCCGAGCTCCAGAACTAGATATGAAGGATAATGATTCTCTAATATTTGTAAGATTAGCAGAGATATGTTCAATTCCTGCCTGAACTACTAAATTAATTATGTGACATGCACACCGTTGATGAAAGATTTTCCCTCCAAATGCCGGTTTCAAACTACGTTTAAACAGATTAATTGCAGCTGTATTAGCTGACGCATTATCAAAAGTAATTGTTAAAACTTTATCTTCTATCCCATAAAACCCAAAAATTTCCATTATTGTATTAAAAATAG